TAATAATAGTAAAATTTGGTGTTCGTTGGAAATAAAACATTTGATTAAAATTTTACTAACAAGAAAATAGTTTCTGTCCTTAATGTTGAATAATCACTTTTTAAATATTTATCTGGTTGTAATTAAACGTGGAGCTCAGGGAGCGACAGCTCCYCCTGCTGGTGGAAACACAGAATCACTGCTGGACTCAGAACCAGCAGCTGCACCCGGGTTCTCTTGGTGGTGGGACATCAGCTTCACTGCTGTTTTTTATCATGAACGTCACAAATATCTGATGTAATGAATGAACTTTGACCCAGAAACACAAAGCTCTGCTTGTTTTTAAGGTTTTGTATCGTTTTTTTTTTTTTTCAGCCAATAAAGCCGTCGAACCTGCAGCCTGTCTGAAGAGGAGGAATTTAACTGGACCCCAGTGGAGGGATACAGACTTTGGTGGAAGGATACGGTCCTATAACGTGCCTTAAAACAACCGACGAACACGGACGAACTTTGCCTTGATATTTTTTTCTACAACAACAAACAAAAACAAATTCCCTTCATGTAAGGTGTTTTATATTTAAAAGAAACAAAAGTGATTTATTTTTTTACAGTATTAACTGAAAAAAAACAGATCTACAAAGAAGGGGACTACTTTGACAAACCAAAACTTTTGGTGTTTTTGGGACCATTTTTGTGTTGTTTTATTATTTTTTTACTCTGGTTCTTCCTGCTGATCCTGCCAGTGAACATGTAGGAGCCGAAGGTTACAAACTAAACTTCTTCCTTTACTTTATTAAAACATTCCTGAACTTTATTCCTGTCTCATTGTTTGGATTTTAACCAAATGTTGTTGTTTGTTTTTTTTTTAGATTAAACTCTGTGATCGTTTTAAAAACAGCTCAAATCACATCCAATGATTGAAAAATAAAAAGTAAATATTTCTCTGAGACGCTCTGATTTTGTGTGTTTGGGTTCAGGTTCTGGTTCAGGGCTTCAAACTCGGAACCAGTTCTGTCTGTTAGACGGTCCAGGTGTTTGTTAGTCCAGAACCAAAAAGAAACCTGATAGAACTGGTTCTGGCAGCAGAACTCTGGTTCTGGATCAGTCTTCTTTCCATTCATTGAAGTTTCTGCTCAGATCTGAAGGTCCACCTGGTTTCAGTCAGGTTCAGGTTTTGGACTCCTGCTTTTCGACCCTTTCTGTTGTGGATCAGCTGCTGGGTTTGGGATCAGGGTTCTGTCTGACTCAGTTTGGTCCAAACTTCAGCTGTCAAACAGACTGAAGGAAGAGAGTTGAGCAAGCAGGGAGGGAGCTGTGTGTGTGTGTGTGTGTGTGTGTGTGTGTGTGTGTGTGTGTGTGTGTGTGTGTGTGTGTGT